AATCCTATTCATCCCCTTAGGCTCAAGTCAAGTGCCACCTTCAACAACAAGGTCCTACTGTATAGCACAGGGAGCTATATTCAATATCCCATAATAAACAATAATGGAAAAGAATATGCAAGAGAGTGTATATATATATGTATATATATATGTAAAACTGAATCACTTCATTGTACACCAGAAACTAACATGACATTGTAAATCAACTATACTTCAAAAAAATTAATTAAAACAAAACAAAGAAACAAATGCCACCTTCCTAAAGCCTTCCCAGGTGTCCCCAAAAGAAAGTAATCTTTTTGTTCACTGAATTCTCAAAGAACTTTCTGCCTCCACTTTTGACACTATGCTTCTATATTCAATTATGGGATTCGTACATATGCCTTAGCATCCCTACTAGACTATAAGCATCCTAAGGGCAGGGATTAGGTAGTGGTCATTTTTATAGCCCAGTACATGCACACAGCAGATACTCAAGATACTTGATGCTTACTAATTGAGTGAATGCAAGATACAAGCAGAAGCAAGGAATACAGATGAGGAAGGAGAATAATTGCAAGGGTCTCTCTACCGCTCCTTGAAGCGATCAGTGGTGGGACCTCCGGTATTAGGAGTTACTCACCCATGAAAGGGTCAATGACGTGTCTCTTCTTAACCTTGGTCTCTGTGATCGCTGCATAGTAGGCACAGGTCATCTTAATGAGCCAGGCAGCCCGCATCACAGGCACTGTGTACTTGGCCAAGTACCCAAACACTTCTTCCTTCTTACTGAAAATGGGGACCTGGATGGATATCGCAAATAGTGAGACCTCTCTCACCCCCATGAGCTGGCACCCGTGTAGCTTCATCTGGGAATCGGAGGGTACTTGGTACCCGCGCTCCCCTCCTTGGCCTGAAGAACAGGAAACAGTACCTCACCTTTTTGGCTAGTTGTGTGAGTGGCTTGGTGCCAGCCAGATCGGTGAACCAGGTGTTAATGGCACTCTGGGATCGTGCAGTTACCAGCCAGAAGTTGTCCTTCTGGTTCACTTGGGGCTTCCTTCTACCGGTGTCAGGGAGGGTGTTACAACGTAACTTCTCTGCAATAATGCTGCTGAAGTTGGAACTGATCTGAGGGAAGAAAACTACACCTCAGGGTGGGAAGAAGGGGCAAAGAAGTGGTCGTGCCTTTGATGGGCAAATGCCAATGTGGTAGCATTAGGTTATGAAGGAAAACTCGGCCATTTAGGTCATCCCACTAAGTCTTCCCAACCCAGGGACTTTGCTCCTTCTCAGATTCTTCCAGCCTTTTCCTTCAGCCTGGCAGGGTTGTCTCACCTTGGCAGGATTGAAGTTGACGTTCTTGGCACTGCCATGTTCATCCCCAGAGACAGCTGGCTGGTTATTGAAACCTTGTTTTACATTCAAGGCCGTTAGCTCATCCTGAGGCAGGAAAACAACATTTTAGCTTTTTTTTTTCCCTTGGGGGTGGGAGTGGGGGTGGGGGTGGTGGGAGAGGAGGGTAGAAGAGAGGGGAACAAGGGGGGAAAAAGGTAGGAGGAGGATTCGGAGAACAGATTGTGATTTAAAGCTAGGCCCTTATATTCATTTGGACCCCGCCCTCACTAAGATTCCCAATTCCCCAGAGCTCGCTCAACAGCACTCTGCCCCTGCGAGCTTGCAAGCAGCCGTAGCTCACCCAGCCGCCTCAGACAACTTTCTGAGGTGTGTGTGTGTGGAGAGGGGGGCGCCTCCAGCGTGGCCCCGACATCACTCCCGGTTCGCGCCCAGGAACCAACCCCCACCCCCACTAGGTCCTACTCTCCTACACCAGCCCACTTTACTCTTCCCCCTTTCGGGACTTGCGCTCCCACCGAACCGCCCCGCCCCACCCCCCTTCCCCGAGCCATCAGTTCTTCCTCCTATGGCGATCGCTGGCCCCTGGCCCCGTGGGAGCCCGGATTTCTGAACGCACCTCCTTCTGTTTGGGATCTTGAGGGTATACATCGGGAGGCCCCAGCCGCGGCCGCTTCAGGGGCCGGTGTTCGTAGCTCAAGATCCCGAAGGCCGCCATCTTGCCCAGCCCGTAGCGCCAGAGGCGCCAGCCGGGCCCGGCCGCGGGGGAGGGGGAGAGGGAGCCGAAAAGGGGGGCGGCGGTGGCGAGGACGGCAGCCGAGAGACAAGGGGGCACATTAGAAACTCTCGATCATTGCCGGAAACTACCGAGGGAAACCGAGGGACGCCGGGAACCATCGGACAATACCGACAGCAGCGGGGGCGGGGGCGGGGCCCAGCCCGGCGTGGGGCGGAGCTCCGCGCGTGGGGAGCTTTTCCACCCCGGCCGCCGGAGAATCGTTTTCGCTCAGTCAAGATCCCTGCAACGTCCGCCAGCCAGGCGCTGGGGATATGAACCTGCGAGGCGGGAGGCGGGCGCGGCGCTGAGCTCCGACTGGAACTGGATTCCCAGCGCCTCGCTCAGTTCTCGGCCCAGAATAAGTGCTCTATCGTCTGTGCGTTGCTTACAAACTCTGCCTTTTGCAAACCGCTTCTTTGTTTCTTAGTTCCTGCATCTGAAAAATGGGTGTACTAACACCTTCAAGGGACTGTTGCGAAGATTAGAAACTATGTATGCATAAGAAAGCACCTATTAAACCCTTAAAGGTCGGCTCTAGTCTTTATTAGAAACTATGTATGCATAAGAAAGCACCAATTAAACCCTGAAAGGTCGGCTCAAGGTCTTTATGGTCTAGCACTGAGGTTCTTAACCTCTTCTGCTTCACAGTCCCTTTAAAATGCTGATGGAAGCTATGGCCCTTCTTCCCAGAAAAATGCACGTAAAGATATACAAAATGTTAGATACTTTGCCGAGAAATTCTTAGACCCCCTCTTGAAGTTCACTCACATATCTCCTAAGGGTCCATGAACTCCAGGTTAAGAACCCTTGCTGTATCGAAAGAGGCACCTACTGAGTGTCAGATGCTTTTCAGACATTGTCTCCTCTAATCCGCAAAAAGCTCCTATGAGTTAGGGATTATTATTGTCTCCATTTTGTGGATGAGGAAGCTGATTTTCAGAGAGTGGAAGTTTGCTTGCCCTATATTATATGGCTACTGTGTAACAGAGCTGAGACTAGGATTTTTTCTTGTCTCTGTCTCTCTCTCTCTTTAAAGTAGTGTATCATCTCATTGCTGTTCTTTTTTTTCCCTGCCTTTTTCAATTGCAGTATATTCGATGTACAATATTATATCAGTTACAGGTGTACAACATAGTGATTGACAATTTTTAAAGTTTACACTCCATTTATAATTACTATAAAATATTGACTATATTCCCCGTGTTGTACAATATATCCTTGTAGCTCATTTTATACATAATAGTTTGTACCTTAGTCCCCTACCCCTATATTGCCCCTCCCCCCTTCCCTCTCCCCACTGGTAACCCCTAGTTTGTTCTC